GCCTCTACCGGCCGGCGGTGCTGCTCGACGGCGCCGTCTACGACCTGAGCATCCGCGACGGGGACGGCGCTGGACCCGGTCAGAGACCCGGAGGCCTCGAGGTAGCGGCCGGAGGGCGTGACAGTGTGTGTGTGTGTGTGTGGGGGGGGGTTCGGTGCACACGAGGGTGCACACGGTGCCTATGGGTTGAAGGATGAACGTGTGCCCCCGTGTTGTGTGTCCCACCTTCCCGCTGGCCTGAGGCGCACAAGCCGGGGCCCCTGGCGATGTGCAAAGTGCCTCCGTCTGTGCCGCCTCCACCTGGGGGTCTGGCTCCGTGCGGGGTGGAGCATCCTGTGTTCAGGGCCTTGAACGGAGCCGCAGAGGGAGAGTTGGGGCCAAACACAGGGGTGCCCTTTCGGGGAGGGGGTGCCATTCTATGCTCCCTCCTGTCTGTGACCTGAGCAAAGACTCGTGTAGTCATTTGTGGAAAGTCCAGAACAGACTCAGTCCTCGGAGAGGGGAAGAGGCAGGAGCAGGCAGGGTTTCCAGGAGGGAGGGCGGCACTTGGGCTGAACCCATCGGACAAGTGAAGTGGCAACAGCATCCCAGGTGCAAATGAGAGCGTGTGTTAGTCCTCGAGGCCTAACCGTTTGCAGCTGCCCACGCCAGGCCACGGGCTTTGCAATTCGCTTTAGGGGCGGGAAAACGGCTGCCCCGGAGCCTCATTGGGCCAAGCCGAGGGGAGGCGCCTGACCGAGTTAAAGGCTGGAAGGACGAGGAAGAGACTAGAGGGCAGGCGGAGAGGAGACCTGGGGTGAGGGAGGGCTGGTGGCCGACCAGCTTCAAGCAGCTTTGGCTACAGGGACAGTCGGGCCCAGGGCTCAGAGGAGGATGAGCGTGACCTGTGGGTTTAGTGTCAAGACCCCCCCGCAGAAGTCAGGGCACAGGACAGGGGGAAACGGCCCCGTCCCACCCCGGCCTCCCGCCCCCAGGAGTGGCCGGGCCCGAAGGACTGGAGCTTGCAGGACACGGATGCCTTCGTGCTGGTCTACGACATCTGCAGCCCCGACAGCTTCGACTACGTGAAGGCCCTTCGGCAGCGAATTGCGGAGACCAGGTGAGGGCAGGGCTGGTGGGGAGGGGAAGGAGGCGCGCTTTTGCCCGTCGGGCCTGGCCTTGCCCCCGGGTCGGGGTTCGGCCCTTTCGCTGTCCTGGGCCTGGTCTCGGGCCTGCTGGGCTGGGCCTTCGTCCTTGCATGGGAAGGTCTTTGGCGCTCACGGGTCTGGTGTTCGCTTGGGGGTTTCTGGCCGCAGGAGAGGGTGCTCCTGAGTGTACGTCCCCACTGGGGGAATTCTCTGGCGTGGGGTCCCCGGCACCTCCGCCCTCCTGGCT